TCTATGGGTGTGTCGATAAGTCATTAGGAGTCATTTGATTGCTGTATCCATTTAACAGCATAATAGTGGGTTTTCCCTAGGACTCATAACCTATCTAGCCATGGGTTCTTGGGTTCATTGGCATTATCAGGTATGGGTTCCATTTCATGGAGCAGGTCTTAAATCCAATCAAAAAGAGAATACCGTGGTTCTGTATTGAGGCCATTTAAGTAACTGTAATAGCAGCATAGTTAACCTTAGAGTATGAGAGGACACACTAAAATCTTGAAGGAAGATTAAGGAAGTAGGAATTTGAGCTTCTATGCTAACCAGTATGTAAATGATGGACTATGTAAATAAATAAACATTATAATTCTACAGCCATATGCATGTTTAATAGTAGTTTTCTAAGTAAAATTTGCTTTAAAATAAATTTTTACCTAAAGGCTCTTTCAATATGGAAATACTTCTGTTTTATTGTACAGCTCAATGCATTTATGTATTTATGCATGAATGTTGTGAATCTCTTCATTATTTGTGGCCATACTTGTTATTATGTGACCTTTTATCATAATCATGTTAATGAGAAAAGAAGGAGTTGGGTGTAGCTAGTATAGTAGAGGGGTTTATTGAGAAATACTTCATATTTCTTGGATAGAGAGTAGCACCCCACAAGGTAATAAGAAGGGAAGCCCAGATTCCAGGAAATATGAATGAGGACCTTCAAGTAGACTAGAGGTATTCAAGTACTAGTAGGTATACTGAAGCAGTGAGAGCAGATTAGTATAGAGGGAGAAGCCAACAGAGTGAGCTAGGAATCTAGAATTTGGTGTCTGTTGAGGAGACACCACTTTAATTGTCTAGGATTACCGAAACCATAAGTTTGCATTGCCAAGCACCTACAGTAGTAACATTAACTTATGATTAAGTCGAATTGTTCACTTTTTTTTTCCACTTTACTTCGGACACGGGGTACAAATGATGAATCTAACACCTGTAGATGAGATGAGGAAGTCCTTAGAGAGTGCAGACAGTCTGGCATTAAAACCCAGAAACATGGGGAACAAACGCTGAGCCTAACATGTGTAGATTAGACCGAGAAGTCCTTAGAGAGTGCGGGCAGTTTGGCGTTAAAACCCAGCACTAGATACAGTGAGCTGGACTTTGGAAACAAACTTATTTGCCTCCACTCAGCTGGAGCCTGCGATAGACAGGTGGGAACAGCATTTTTGAGGTTAATGCTTCAACAAATCATGAGTTGTGTCTTTGCCTCATTAGAAACTCCATTTCTCCTTAATCCAAGCTTTATATGGATCAGCTTTTATTTAAATAATGGTTGGCAAGCATGGCAGTGTAGATGTAAAGCCTAGACAAGAGTAAATATACCAGCGTACCCCAGGTCTATGCTCTTGTTACAGGATTATTCCCATTCTGTAGTGTTCTGTGTGTCATCCATTCATATGAAGATATATGAAATATTTTATAAAATAATTTTATTTTATAAAATCTCAAAAATTATCAGTGGAAAAGTAAGCTAGACATATTTCTTCACCTGCTTGATAGTTCAAGAGCTTCAAATCCTGAGGAAACATACCACAGAGTTACATTACTGAGTCTAGGGTGCCCTTCTCAGCCCAAGTTTTCTAGACCTTTCTCTGCATTTAACTTTGCACCGGGAACTCCATATATGCTAACCTTGTCTTTTTCCATCTGACTTACCATCTTTTGTCCTCTTTGCCTATCTCTTATTTAGCTCTATCCCTAAATGTCACTATTGTTCAAGCTTCCTTTTGTTCAGTGGTCCTCTCATTAGGAATCAGTTATGTTTGTAAGTCTCAGAGTCATTTGCAGTCACTCCTCATTCTTGTTTTCCTTACCCTCCCATTGCATATCAGTTTGGCCAATGTTTGAATCCCGCTTACATCTCTCCTTAGGTACTCCGCACTCTCCCAATCACACCCTGAGGTCAGACTCTGATTATTAATCTGAATGCTTCTAGCTGGTGAAGATTCGTTAGGGCTCCAGTCTGTATCAAGTACTATGCTGAGCACTGCTGAGAACACAGAAATAATCGTGCTTGCACAGTAAGAAGAGCAACATACAAACAAGTATATGCTATTTGATTTAACTTTATTTAACAATTTTGGAAATTTGGTCCCATATTAAACATTGATTGCATAAGGTACATGCTAACACATTAAATGGTGGACACTTCTGATTTGTGTAAAGAAACAGTCGCAGAATCCAGTACAGGGTTCAATACTGCAAGAGCCATCACAAGACAGTGCTTGGTGGGCTGTGGTTCTTGGTTACTATTCCTTCTCTGTGTCATCTCAGGGATCTTGCATCTGTTTATGTTATTCTCCCAGTTGTTTCATGGTTGTTACTGCAAAGCAATTAAGAGTGCATGACGAGATTGAATTTGCAGTTTTTGAAAATGCAAATTATTTATATGGCTTATTCCTTAATGGAACATTGCACGATGAGTAAGATTCAGAAGATGTGGGGTAGGTTAGGCAGTCTATTGCAAGGCAGGTCATAAAGGCCCTTTACAAAAGTCTTCCGTTGTCGACTTAAAGGGAGTGAGTCAGAGCAAGGAGTTGCATGAGCACACCAAAGTGCATGTTGACAGCTATAAAGGACTTTTTAGCTCTGGAGTATAATGGTCAAAGAATATGTTAGTCCACAGAGCAAAGCCAAACTAGAAAGATCATGAGGGCACCTCTCTTAACCAGGGGACTCAGTGCTACTAAAAGTTGTAACCAGAGAAGCACCGTTAGATTTGTGTTTTAGAAAGAATTTTCTGACCATGAGATTGGAACTTAAATGAGTCCTGCCTTGTTGTACATATTCTCTGTGACCAAGGGCAGCATGGCAAAACATAGAACTGATAGGGTAGATCCCAGTTCAGGGCTTGAGATAATTTTCAGATGTCAGAATCTAGTTTTCCTCCATTTCTAGCCATATTGTACATGTCTGTACTGAAACATAAGACAGATTTTTCCTGTCTGTTACAGTCAGCACCTCCACCAACCCTTCCTTACTTTGCTTTAGATTGCTTAACGCCAGATGCAAACATTGTATGTGTGGCCATTGGTTTTTGTTCCCTGTCACCCAGCTGCAACACAAGAATGGAAGGTTTTGTGTGCTAATTTCACATCTTAATGTCCTGCACCTGTACAATGTAGGCATTCAGTGTTTCCTGAAAGAATGTGACCTCATCCATCTTACCCCCTCTCTCGTTTTCCTCCTTCTCACCTTCTTGCTTTAGGCCTCACTTCACCCTTACCCAGGGTCATAGTCAGATGCCATTTTTAAGCACTTCTTTACTTTATGTAGCTCCCGCAACAGTTTTTGACATAGTAGAATAATATCTTTGTGGTCAGACCAGGATAGGGCATATCTAAATAAGTAGTGGCAAAGTCAGTCTTTAATCACCACTAGAGAGAGGATTACAGGATGAGGCAGATACACAATAGAATAATGAAATTTTGCAAGTGATTTAAATTTGATTATATGCATATGGATGGGAGAAATAAATAAGGAATCACCACCAGTTTCTGTTTAATAAGAAATTATACAAACGCTTTAAAGAAGGTATTGAGTTTTGTCTGTGTATCTCTTTACTTTTTTTTTTTTTTACAGAAATAATATGGATTCTAATATAGAAAGACATGTTGAAGAAATTATTTTCTAATGGAGTGTAAAAAATGTTAAAATTCTGAATTTTCTTCTTTCTATATGAAATATCTCCATTTATATCATTAAAGATATAAATTATCTGAAATACTTTTTCAGTCAAAATGGTGCTGCTCTACCCAGTCAGCCTCTGTTTTGTGTGACATTGTACTTTCATTTGTTGTGTCCTACATGGCTTTGTTGTATGGATCTTATGGCAAGTGTAAAGATGTGGTCTAAAATTTTATTATTTAGTTTCTTTTTAACGTGTGTGTGTGTGTGTGTGTGTGTGTGTGTATGCACGCGTGCGCGCACACACACATGGGCGCACACATGGAGGCCATGGTATGCTTGTGGATAACAGAACAGCATAGCACAGGGGCATCTCTTATCTTTTCTTCCATGTAGATCTTGGAAGTTGAACTCTGTTCACAGGCTTGGTGGTTGGCACATTTCCCACTGAGCCATCGCATTTATTATAGTCTCTGTTTTAGCGGGGCGGGGGGGGGGTCTTCTGATCTGTCAATTGACATTATGTTATTAATTTGAAGTTTCAGATAAGGCCTTTCTGTAAAACTCAGTTTCATCTCTTGGCCATGGCTGTCTCCGTTCTTTATTTCTTTGTGTTTTGTTTTGTTTTTTTCTCTTAGAGGAACATCATACTACAGTGTCAGGGTCTCCGTGGCTTTTTAATTGAGAAGCAAACCATAAAGCTAATCATTATGTAGACTTAGTCCAGCCATTAAAGTAGAAATTGCCTCTAATATTTGACATGCAACAAATATGAATACCGGAACTCAAATTTATCCTTGTTTGTATTTAAGGACTATATTAGGTGGGTAGCAGATCATCTTCAGGTTCCAGAAGGATGGGGGAAACTGGTTTTGAGTGGGATGTGTACAGTAAGCATCTAGTCCTCTGTCTCTGGCTTCTCTGTCATCTTCAGAAGCAATGCTGGGCTGCTTCTCTAGAAGACAGCACAAGTGTGATTTCAATACACTGCAGTAAAGAAATTCCCATTCCTTTGGCTAACTGCTATTTTCAAGAGGAAAATAAAGCCTAGTAGACTTGTTCATTGATGGTTACTACACTACATATATATGAAGCGAGTAAGCATTTTTGTAAGATGCGTGTAGTATTTCCCCATGATGAGGCTGTAAGCTTTCAATAAAGGGTTTCCCCTTTCCCTGTTTTTCTTCATTAAGATGTAGAAGGAAAATTTGGGCAAAATCTATGCAAACTTGAAGTAGATCTTGAAAGTTCGTTCTCTTAGAGATGTGTCTGAGGAGATATAGTGCACCTGCTGAATTTTCTAAAGGCTTTTGTGCATCTTCGTTTTTCAGAGTAAAGCCAGTCCCCGCTGAAGGAATCAAGTCAAATCCCTCTAAGCGACATAGAGACCGGCTGAACACTGAGTTGGACCGCCTGGCCAGCCTGCTGCCCTTCCCACAAGATGTTATTAACAAGCTGGACAAACTCTCGGTTCTTAGGCTCAGTGTCAGCTACCTGAGGGCCAAGAGCTTCTTCGATGGTAAGACAACAGGAGTGACTTTGCTGCAGTAACTTGTACAATTCTGATGTTAAGTTTGCTTCTTTTAATGTTGATGACTATTAAAACTATCTGTGAGTGAAAACATTTTGTTTGTTTGTTTGCTTTTGTTTTGTTTTCTGTTTTTTTTTTGGTCATAAAAATAATTGACAAGGCTAATTTTGTAACTATTGTTAAATTAACCCTTCTGTCTCATTCATTAGATAAATATAGCCATTTGAATGATATATGGTATCATTCTTTGAAAGTCATATATTTAGAAGTTATACTCAGGCTTTGCTTTTAGAAGAAATTACAAAACACTTGATGAACGTGATTGGGCCAGGGGCTATAACTAAGTGGATAGGAGAGTGTCTGCTGTAAAAATCATGAAAATCTGAGTTCAAATCTTCAATTCCCACTTAAAAGCTTGGAGTGGCCTCATGTGCCTATAACCCTAGCACTGTGGGAGACAGAGGCAGAAGGGCTCTGGGGTGTGCTCAAACTGCAGTATGCTCCTCATTCACTAGGCATCATGTTTACTGAAGTGTGCTCATCACTCATTAGGCATCGTGCTGAAATGCAGATGTTTAGCCTTCTGTAAACTCAGGTGGTGCTGATGATGGCTGTCCAGGTCAGCAGGCAGCATCCACTCATGTCTGTAATGTGTTTTTTTGCCAAGGAAGTCACTTCCCTTTAGATGTATGTTTATATGGTTTGATGTATTTTGTTTGAGCTACTATGACTGCATGCTTCTTTGTTTATGTGTTAATAATTGCAATCTATCAATGTACACTGATTCCTATGGTAGTGATCCATGTGATCTGCAGTGCATACCAACTCCCACATCAGTGACCTCATGTGGTCTATACTGCGGAGTCCTACAGTAGTGAGATCATGCATAGTTTCATAGCAGTTCCATCCTACTCTGCCCTTGATCCTGGCTCACTGTGCACGGCTCTGTGGTGTGTCTGAGCATCCTTGTCTGCAGTAGCCTCCTCCTGGTAGAGCTAACACAGAGCCCTGGCTTCTTGATTCCCTTTATTTTTTCTGACTGTAGCTCTGTCCCTCCCATTACTTGCAAAGTCCAGAGAACTTGTGTGCACACCCTTGGCTCTCAACAGTGCCGACAGTGACATCTCCAGACAAGCATTATCAGCACTGAATGGGCTTGTTAGCATCCCTGGACCTGCAGGGTCAGTCACTGATTGTGGGTAGAGACCTGAAAATGCTTTGGTATCCTGAACCTCAGTGTTCCCTTATACACTATGTTCACTGCTGTACCAGATTCCATTCACTTTTCCCTGATGTAGGCTGTGTCTCTGCCTCAGAGAATTTCGTGTACAGGGCATGGGGCCTCTGTGTCAACTTAAGAAAAGGTTTACTGAATTCAATCATTGTACCTTTCAATTTGTTGTGCCTTTATATTGAGGATTGTGTGTGAAAGGTAATGTATATGTTTGTGTGTTTGAAAAATAATGTATATGTTTGTATGTGTGTGTGCATGTATATATGAGAAAATATATACATTGTTCCCTGTTTTTAAAAGAAGCTTCTTAGGATACCTACTACACCACGTAAGCATTACATAATTACTATCTTTAAGATATTTGTATGCTTAACATATGTTTATTTACACACATGCATGTTTAAACATGTCTTGTTGACCAAATCTGCCTTATTAGCAATGCTGTAGTTTGCCAGGACTATTAAGTGTTTTTCAGCCCTTCATTAATTAGTTTTTATTTTATTCAGATTTATTACCTATTTGTATTATTCCTTGTTAATTATATTATCCTTAATTTTAAGCCATTGTGTTGGTGTTACACTTCAGTGTGCATGAAAGTTATCTGGAATTTTTGTTAAAATGCGCCTTCTAGATAATGCCTTCTCTATGCTGACTAAGTTACTTTTACCAAGGGGTAAGTATTTGAGCAAATGTGTTAAAAACGTATGACAGTGTTTTAGTTTAGCCCAGAGATGGTTTTTTAAAGTTTTTTGCTTTGCCTTTGAAAGGAAAAACCAAAATATACAAACTTTCAAGAAGATTATAAATGTGTATGTAGGGGCAGGCATTAATGGTGTGTATTCACTTTGAGCAGTACCTTGAGCTGTTTGGTATAGGAGAACAGACATTAGACAGAAAGTGAGGGGATAAAAGTCAGTTAAAACCAAATGACCATATCCAGAAATCTACAAGGATGAGCCCAACTAACAATCTAAGCAATAGTGAAGAGGCTACCTTAAATGTCATTCCCCTATAATGAGATTGATGACTACCTTATATGCCATTCTAGAGCCTTCATCCAGTAGCTGATGGAAGTAGAAGCAGACACCCACAGCTGAACACTGAGCTATATTCCTGGAATCCAGTTGCAGAGAGGGAGGAGTGATGAGCAAAGGGGTCAACACCAGGCTGGAGAAAACCACAGAAATAGCTGACCTGAACAAGGAGGAGATCATGAACCCCAATTGTATAGCTGAGAAACCAGCATAGGATTGACCCAGACCCCCTAAATGTGGTTTTAATTGGGAGGACTGGGCAGTCTACAGGGAATCTGGTAGTGGATCAGTATTTATCCCAAGTGTACAAATGGACTTTGGGAGCCCATTCCACATAGAGGGATGCCTAAACACATGGGGAGGGTCTAGACCTTGCAGCAAATGATATGACAGACTTTGAAGACTCCACATGGAAGGCCTCACCCTCCCTGGGGAGCAGAAAGGGGATAAGATGGGGTTGGGGGAACAGGGAAGGAGGGGAGGGATAGGGAACTGGGATTGACATGTAAAACAAGCTTGTTTCTAATTAAAAAGAAAATGATATACCCACTTGGACCCACAGTGTGTCAGAGTAGAGCATAGTACCTGCATGCACAGAGCAGTGCTGTGCAAACCTGGTGATGAGGAGCTTCCGACAGTCCTGCGGCTGCCTGTCCACGGTTGGTCTCACCGTCCCTCCATTAAGGAAGCTGTGTAGCGAAGCGAAGGGAAGCTCAAAATGAATAACAGGATGCAAACAGGGGGTGTGTAAATTCCTGCGGAAAGAACAATATAAACGAGTAATCATACAATCTTGCTAGAAAGGAAGCTCAAGTTTTACTATAACAATAGATATTTTTCCAAGAAAATACATCTATTTATTGCAAGCTCAAATAATACCACTTGAATTGATCTTAAACTTGGGAGCCATGACTGAGCTGTTGTTACTGTCTGTAAAGCAGCAGTTGAATGTTAGGTACAACATTAATGATTATCCATTCCTAATTAAGTGAAGCTTCCCAGAATTGAACTTTTAAGTACTTAGGACTACTTACTTAGTCATGTTGTAGGTAGAGTAAAGTTTCAAGTCGTTAATTTGAAACTTTTATCTACTCTGTATCATGTGGAAAGTACTCAAGAAGGTCAATGACTGTGATCAAAAGGAGTTTAGTTTCAGAGACCAGGATTTTGGTGGCTGTATCCAGGTCTTGAAATTGCCTGGCAGCAACAGAAAGTTGTTTTTCTCCTGAACTACTTCTCTTACACAGTTATCAAACATGAGATACTATGATTCTTGATGGCCAACCTTATTATGGGTAACAAGGGTAACAATTTATTTTAGTTATTTATTTAGCTTTTTTTTTTTTTTTTTTTTTTTTTTTTTTTTTTGAGACAGGGTTTCTCTATGTAGCTCTGGCTTCTGGCTGTCCTGGAACTCCCTCTATAGTCCAGGCTGGCCTCGAACTGAAGAGATCCACCTGCCTCTGCCTCCTGAGTGTTGGGATTAAAGGCATGTGCCACCACTCCCAGCTAACAATTTATTCCTAAGAATAATTTTGGCATTTATATTTTGAATGAAGTTTTCTTACTACCTATTGAAATTTTCAAGATATAAATAGTTTGTTCAAATTGTTCTGCATTTAGATATTGTCTTGGAGTTATTATTTATGTGATAAAATTTCATCACCAAGTAGCTTATAAAAGAAGACATTTAACTGGGAGATTGCTTACAGTTTCAAGGGGGTTAATCCATGGTCAACTTAGGAGAAGGTAGGCAGACATGGATTTTGAGCAGTGGCATTTAGCTCACACCTGATCCACAATTGCAGTTAGAGAGAGAGAGAGAGAGAGAGAGAGAGAGAGAGAGAGAGAGAGAGAGAGAGAGAGAGAGAGAGACTGGGACTGGGACTGGGACTGGTGTGTGCTTTAGAAACCTCAAGGCCCATCAGTGACACAACTACTCCAAAAGACCACACCTGCTCAACAAGGCCACATCTAGCCAATAAGGCCATACCTCATCTTTCTCTAACAGTTCCACTAACTGGGACCAAGCATTCAAATGTATGAGCCTACAAGGCCACTCTCATTCAAATTACCTCTTTCTACTCCTTGAGCCCCATAGGCTTACAGCCATAGCATAATCCAAAGTGCATTCTGTCCAATTCAGAAGTCCAGATAGTCTTTTGCAATCTCAACACTGTTTAAAAGTCCAGAGCCTCTTCTGAGACTCAAGCTGATATTTTAACTGTCACCCCTGTAAAATTAAAACGAAAAAAGCAGACCACAGACTTCCAGCATTCAGTGGCACAGACTATATGTCGCCATTCCAAAAGGGAAGAAAGGGAGCATATTGAGGGAGTAGTGGTTAATGGACCGACAGTTGTCTACCATGAACTTGTTCTTTCTAGCTTCACATTTTCCCACATGATGTTGGGTGCATTTTATTGTCGTATGACAGAATATCCCATTGATTCTAGGCCAGGTCTCCTTTCTGTGTCATGGAGGAAGCACACAGCAGAGGATGTCATGTCTAAGATGGGAGTGAGCAGGCAGGTGTCACTCAGTAGGCTAGTTTTTGTCTTTTAAGAGGACTTTCAACCTTCCTGTGCCACAGCATCTTCACCCTCTCAATGTGGGTAGGAACAGGAACAAGGTTTGCCTGCTCTGTGGTCTGAAGTGACTTAATGCTGAGAATAAGGGCTCTGTGAGTGAATTCTATAATTAAAATGATTCTCATGTAAACTATACTTATGTCTTATGGAATATTGACATTTTTTAAAACTGACTTAATATGCCTAGGGACCTTAAGGGGCCCAGTGCTAATGTCACCTAAGGACCCCCATGTTGAAGAGATGCTGCCCTTCAACACAGGTGGGAATTTGCTAATGAGCTCTTTACAATCTCTTGGCTGAACATGTGGTCATTACTTGCCCATGATGTTTTCTCTTGTTAGAAATGGCACATTGCTCAAGTCTAGATGTCTCAGGGAAGACAGCTGTTGCTTGCTTGGGAGGATGTGAGCCATGGATATAGTGTGTTTGTGTATTTACTCCGTGTGTCAGTTTTAAGGGTGAGCTGCAGTTTTTATCTTGGTAGAATTGTTGGAATTATCTCTGAGTGCTCTGAGTGTGATTAATCTATAGTGATTTTAGAAAACATTGGAACCCAGAAAGTTTCTAAACCATTTCCTAAGCCCATGTTTTCTGTCAGTGGTTTGCAGTATTGCTTGGAAACTGTTAGTGTGAACTGTGGAGTGCAATCTTAGAGCTACTGAGTTGGAAGTTGACAGGGACCAATCTTTGAATCAATATGCCTTCCAGATGACTCTATTATCGGTGAAAGTTTCATAGTAACTGGTATAATTAATTTATTAATCACATTCTGCATTTCAAAGTCATTTTAAATTCCACTCTTGTATCTAACAGTGTGACACAGTAAGATCCATGGCCCTATCAAAAGCCGCAAACTAACAGACAATTCTGTTCTTGTTGAATTAATGCAGACAGGGATTTTTGTAGAAAAAAAAATTTATCAAACTAAATGTGTAACATGAAGTGTGATAACTAGATCTTTGGAAGTGAGTTTTCACTTGAAATTCGGAATGGAACTGACTTTTCATCACTTTGAAAATGATCGGCTGAAAAGCAGTGACTTTCCCAAAGTACTATTGCAAACGCAAATGCGGTTCTCACCTTGCCTTGAAGGGACACCCTTCAGGGGCTGCAGAGGTGGCTCAGTAGCTAATAACACTTGCTGCTCTTCCAAATGACCCAGGTTTGATTCCCAGTACCCACATGATGACTCACAAAAGTTTGTAACTCCAGTCCCAGGGGATCTGGTGCCCTCTTCTGGCCTGTAAGAGCACTAAGCATATATGTGGTATACAGACATACATATTGCAAAACACCCAAGACACAATAATAAATATATGTTTAAAAGTACATTCCATATGTAGAAGAAAACTTTACTCTATATTAAAGTAAAAATGTACCATTTATTTCAGACTATATAGAAAATTCCTTCTAGCTACACTTGGTATATTATTTGGAAATGTATCCATTCAAATAAATTATGTTGGGATATTTTCCTTAAATTAATAAAAATTGTGTTTTTAATATTTATTAAATAAATAAATAAAAGAAATGATAAGCATTGTAAAATACATTAAATTAATATTAGAATAAATAAAACACATGTAGTTTTCCCTCAAAAATTGTATCATGCCACATTTCAATTTGAAAGTAAACTTATAAGAACAAAGGTCAAGATATACTTTACCATAGTCCAGCATTCTGTCTTAATAATTTAATATAATGTACAAAAGAGGAAAATACTAGGTTAGAAAATGTAAATTGGGTAAATGTTGGTAGAATTAAGATTGGAGTCATGGGTACTGGGATATGGCTGCTTGATAGAGGTGTGCATTTACACACTAAACTCCATCACGAGTATAACCGATCCTGTGTAATATCTAATTGCTTCAGATACTTCCAAATGAAGACATTCTTGAAATACTTTGGCATTTTACTATTCTTATTTTTATATTCCTGTCACTTCAGAAGGAGGTATGTAGCTTACTATTAGAAGTTTGGCAGGTGCTTCTCAGGTGCCAGAATCAGTGACATTTTTTGGATGGTACATTTCATTTCTACAGACTGTTATGTATTGCAGTGCTGTTAAATTTCAAGGATCATGGACATTGGATTATAGACATAATTTATGTACTGATTAACATTTGAAAGATTTCAGGTGCCATGTAGTCACCATAGTAATTCTGTTTGATTTTCACCAGTGTTCTCCATTTAAAGATGAGGAAATGGTTAGCCCCAGTACAGGTTATTCTAAGTTTTTCTGTAGTGGTTCCAGGGTATGTAAACATAGGGAAGGGCTTATTATCTCGGTCCTTGACTGTCCATGAGTAGGCTGCATGTTATTTTATGCTCTCCAGAATTCATCTCAAGTGATAGCATTGCTCTCATTTAAAGGCAAGAAAACTAAAGATGAAAAATGGTTCACTCAGTGAGAACTGTGGGACAAGGGGGTCATTGCCTGCACACTGGGAACATCCAGGCTTCACCTCTTAAAGTCTGACAACTCGGAGAAAGTTTCTTCTTCTCCTTATGTCTAAATTTTATATCACATTATACAAACAGTTCCACTCTCATAGGATTGTTATGGAAACCAAATGAGACATAATAGTTTGGAAGTGCTGTGTACAGATTACAGCTCCAGGATCATCGGTTATTCAGTATACAGAGTACATGTAACGGTAGGAAGCAGTTGCTTTCCTCCATTGATTCCTTAAGCAACATGAACATGAAAAAAAAAAGACTATTAATATGGAGTTTTAAAAAGGGAGAGGCAATAGTTATGAGACTAAAACTAAAAAGGACAACGCTATGAAAGGCTGAAATGACTTAGCCTGGATTGAGAAGTGTGATCGTAAAGTTAAGTTTTCTAAAATAGCACAGAGGAGTTTGGTGGGGAGTCCTTGAGAAGTGAGTGAGTACACATACTGTTTCTGTACTCATGTTTGTTCAATGTTTACTTTAGACCTTTACTGAGGACTAGACAATAGAAATGTCAGTCTGGACTGTTTGTAGTAGAATCCTCCCTTGGCCATTCTCAGAAATTCACTCATCATGCACACCAAATGGCATGTTTCTGACATTTCAAACCTGAGAGTTAGGCCTCATGAAGAGCTTGCTCTTATTTTCACCATCACCACAGTCTCTGTAACACTTTGTATACCTGTTCATATTCTTGACTCTTTTTGACATTCTCTTTTAGTTCTTTCTTTCTATAGCTTGTACATGGTCCTTAAAGACTGGCTAAATCTGATTACAATGGTTACTAACCCCAACACAAGCCCATTAATAACAAGTGGTAGGTACTGAGGCAAACCCTTTGGTTCCTCATTCACCAGTGATACAGAATGTATGTAAACACTGAGCTGTTGTTTTTCTCCTGTCGGTGACTGTCATTAGTACTGACATAAGTTCTGCTGATTACAAAGTTCATGTGAAGAGATCCCAGATGATAATTGAGCTCTTCTTGTTTGACACCATATCTGTCCTGTTTTAGGCTGCTGCTGCTTTTTCGTGAGAATGAGGGACTTGGTTTGTCTTTGTTCACATCTTTTCATCACGGGTCTGACTTGGTAAAACTCCTAAATTGTTCTTTCTGTGGAAGCCCATGGCAAAGGAGCAGAGTCCTTATTTAACTTTGACATTGTGAGCAAAGTTTCCCATCAGAGGGTGCAGCAACAACGGCTGATACACAGACCAGAAAGGAAGAAAAGGCCATTGCCTGTTCTGCATTTCCGTTTAGTCCTGATTAAAAGCTAAATCAGTTCACCTTACACTATATTTTGGCCTGAGGAAGTCTGTTCTCTGGCCCTTTGCAATTTTTATACACAGAGGCCAAGTGGTGGCCTCTACTGTCCCAGAGATATAGCTCCACGTCTGCAAAGGCAGGTGGGAGCTTGGCATAAGATCCCAGAGTGGCACATGCACTGATGATTTACCAGAAAGTGCAAGCGTGAGAGCGGTTCATGTGCGCTTTGCCCACCAAGACGGCTTTCCCTATGAACATGAGAATGGTTCATATATGCTTTGCTCACCAAGATGGCTTTCCCTGAATAGTTCATTTGTGCTCTACTCACTAAGACAGCTTGGAAGAGTAAGGACAGTTTTGAACTATCTGATCATAAGTCAAGATGAAGCAGAGCCATCTCTGTGGGCCCCAACACTAGAAGTCATGGCTATTATGGGGATACCTATACAAATGAAGAGTGACATTACTCTAGCACATTTCTAGTAAAAGGAAACACTTTTTTCATATTATAACATAAAGCATAGTACAGGTATACCACATAATCCTACAGAATGCTTAATAACAGAAAGGGGTAATGAAGACTCACAGAGGCCAGGCTGTGGTCAGTATTTAAATATTGCAGGTTAGAAAGAGATGAGGGAAGACAAGAATGGCTAGGCATTTAGGAGATATTCTTTCTAATAAGGCAACCCTTAAACTCTTGTAAACACCCTGAATAGAGTGACTGTTTATCGATGTGTTGGTCTGCTCTGTCAGGAACTCCATGTGCATCCCCATTGTTCCTCACCACAGCCTTGCGCGATGCACTGTTTAAAACTGCCTTTTCCCACATTAGTTAACACTGGTTCACGAGCTGGTATGTTTAATAAATGGCAGAGCTAAGATTTGCATCTGACTTGGTCAGACACATGTGCCATGTGTTTTCAAATGAGGTTTGATAGGGCATGAAGTAATGAGGAAGTCAGTGGCAGCCATAGTGATTCCACTAAGTTGTGTTGCACTAGACAGAGGGTTTCAGATCATCTCTTGGATGGTTTTTATTATAGTCCTTTTTATATTGCTTGTTTAAATATGTACCCTTTGTGTCATCACTTCTTCCTCTTTTCCTTCTTGTAGTTGCATTAAAATCCTCCCCTGCTGACAGGAATGGAGGCCAGGATCAGTGTAGAGCACAGCTCAGAGATGGACTGGACTTGCAAGAAGGAGAGCTCTTATTACAGGTAACTCTGGTAACACAGTGCCTTCCAGTTGGATGGTCATACATCCTAGGTGGGAGGCTCATTGATCTAGTTCCTCTGAGTCGTTGTAGACTCACCACACCAATTTCATGTGAACTGCCGCAGTGCCTGGCAGCTGGGATTATGAGAAGTGGTTAATCAGGGCGGATCATCCTGGGACTGTGGGAGGTGGATCCATCAGGTCTAGTCATCCTCCCCGTTGCTTCTCTCGATGTATCTGGTACACTTTCAAGAATGTTGCTACCATAGAGAATTAAAGCACATTTCCAATATACAAACACATTTGTTTTTAATCTATAATATTAGAACTTCTATTTCACTTCAGCAGTGATGTGTGACTTATGTGTTACAGGTTTCCCACAACACTTATGGGCTCTTGTTTTGTGTTTTAGAACTTGGGAATCTCTAATAGGTTTACTGTGGACACAGTTTTAAAAACGAGAATTGCATCTTAGAGTGGACACTGCTCGGTTCTCACAGTGTGAGCAGATGCTCAGTGATTTTGTGGAAGTAAAAAGTGTGCTGTGATAGCGCTGGCAACATTCCCAATGATTCTCTGTCCCAGCCAATGACTGAGCCAGCCTGGTGTAGGTTCCCCCTATTGCTCTCAGCCACAGCTAGTGAACTGAGCCAGCCTGGTGTATGTTTTGCTAACTTATTGCTGGATCAGAGCTGTGTCAGGTTCCTTTTCTGTTGCTGGAATGAGACACCATGACTAAAAGTGACTTACAGAAGGAAGGGTTAACTTGGGCTTCCAGAACCAGAGAGTTAGAATTTATCATGGTGAGGAAAAATAACAGTAAACATCAGGCATGACAGCAGGAGCAGCAAGCTTAGCTCACGGTGCAAAGAGAAAGACAACTGGAAATAGGGTAAGACTATAACCTCAGAGCTTGTACCCAGCAATTCACTTTCTCCAGCAAGGTCCTACCCAAAACAGTCCCACCAAATTGGGACTAAGTCTCCAATTGCTCAAGACTAAGGGGGAACATTTCCCATTCAGTTGACAAATTCCACTCCCAGTCTGTACATGGAGCTACAGGATTTGGCGTCTGCCCTGCTGGGTTCCAGTCTAGCTTGAGTCCAGTAATTCCTCACAGTGCCCCTGTTCCTCCCTTTTGGTTTTGGAAGTATATAATTTGCTTTCTAGTTTTATAGGGGTTACAATTAAGAGATTTCCTTGGGGGGGGAGAATAAAAAGAGATTGCATTGAGGCTCAGGAGAGACTTTGGACTGAAATTAAGTAGAAAATAATAAGAACTTTTTGAATGAAGTTTCTGACCATGGATTGTTGAACTGAGCACATACTTTTTTGTTATACAAGAGGAAGATAAACCTCTAATTTACAATGACCTTGAAGAAAACCTAAGCAAAGTAGAAAAAGAAGGACTTGCAAACTAAAAGGGAAAAACATAGAATAATCATAATAGTGGTACGGGCAGGAGGGAGGAAAGGGGTACAATGTAGCTAGAACTAATAGAAATTAGAAGGGTATCTAAGATAATGCATTTAGCCATACTAGAGCTGATGGAAGCAGAAGCAGAGATTCACAGTCAATCACTGAGCCCAACTCCTGGAATCCAGTTGTATAGAGGGAGGAGTGATGAGTAAAGGAGTCAAGACCATACTGGGGAAACCCACAGAAACAGCTGACCTGAGCAAGTGGGAGCTAACGGACCCCAGTCTGACAGCTGAAGAACCAACAAAAGACTGAACTAGGCCCCCTGAATGTGGGCATCAGCTGGGGGGGGGGTTGGATAGTCTATAGGGTCACTGGCCGTGGAACCAGTATTTATCCCTAGTGCACACATGGACTTTCAGAGTCCATTCCCCATGGAGGGATACTCTCAGCCTAGATACACAGGGAGGGCCTAGGCCCTGCCCCAAATGATATGACAGACTTTGATGATCCCACATGGAAGGCCTCCCCCTTCCTGGGGAGTAGACCTGGGGTGGTATGAGGGATCGGTGGGGGGGCATGGGAGAATGGGAGGGAGAGGGAACTGGGATTGATATGTAAAATAAGATTGTTTGTAATTTAAATAAAAATATGTAATAAAAAAGATAATACATATAAACATGGAAAGATTCACAATTAGATTAAATGTTATTAAATGTATGTGTTTTATAGCTGAGAATTATATCTAATTTTTGAATGTTACATTTTGTATGCATTGTGCATTCCAATAAAAGTTTTAATAACTTTATAATTCTTTGAAAGCATGTAAATTTTAGTCAGTGCCTGAGGCATTTTGGCTGGAAGCCATCTTCTATCTAGTTTTCTCCATTTAAAGGTCCAATAATTAGTTTTTCCTGCTGTTTTCCCTGAAGGAAGGCATGTAATTATAGTGAGTGTTTTCTGTGCAGTTTATTTTATCAAAAAAAAAAAATAGATGCAGTATATTTAAAAGAACAAATCTGGAGTGTATGGAAAACAGTAAACCTGGTATCCTATTCACGTGCCTGGTTGAACTTTAAATTTAGCTCTTAAGTTTCCCCTCAGCCAAGTAAGAGGCATGGATAGGTTTGCCCTAAACCACATGCTGTATACCTGTGTTTGGGGAGTATAAGGAGAGGGTGTTTGTAGATAGAGACAGCTTTTATGTGACAGTTGCTATTTCTGATTGACAGTTTTATACCTTCTTGTCTGCAGGCACTGAACGGCTTTGTACTGGTTGTCACAGCAGATGCCTTAGTCTTCTATGCTTCCTCTACTATCCAAGATTACCTGGGCTTTCAGCAAGTAAATATATTTCTCTTACATCATTTAAAATGATTATTTTTAGAAAATGAACTTTCTGCTGTTTTGTCTATTTTATAATTAAGAATCAAAGTTGGCCATTTGTACATGGAAAGTCTTGACTAAAATGTGTGTTATAAGAATTGCAAATATATTTTAGTCTGTTGGATATTTTTTCAGTATTGATAATGTATAGCACTGATGTTTTGTTTCATAGTTATTGTTTTTGTTCAATGTAGCTGTGTGCTATATAGTACCTACTATACTGGGTTCAATAATTAGCCTGGCAGAAGACGGCCAGGGAAAGAACCTTTAAGGCATGTCAGGTTTGGAAGCAGACAGAACATTTGCCATTAGGTGTCATGGGCTACTGACTAAAACAGTTATGAAATTACTGTGATGCTATAGAAAGGCACATTTAAAATACTGTGGTTTATGAGCATTATGAGCATTACCTTAAAGAAATTTATAGAGACTGGGCTAAAGCATGAAGAGTTCACAGATGTTGAGGAGGGAGAGTAGGGTCAGGTAGAATGCTGTTAGCAGTAGACAAGAGATCCTTGGAGGAGGTGAAGTGTTTGTTCTATGTAAGCAGTCTTGAATGGATGGTGTGTGTGGTGGTCAGCAATAGAAAAGTAATTACAGAACGCTGGTGTGTTGGGGGAACATCTGATATGATCTGAGAACAGGCCAGAAATACACTTGAGTGTTTGCTGCTCTTGTGTATCTGGCTCTCACATTGTCTTGTCATAAGCGGCACCTGAAGCTCTTGGTGAGGTCTTTGGGCTCCATTCCCAGATATTCCATTTCAGTGGGTCATAGTGTTGTGGCCCATGCTTTTGCATGTTTGTGAATCTCCCAGGCTGCTGGTCTACATGCCACAATCTGTTTAAGCACATCTTCATGTGGTACACTTGAGAAACATGGAGATGCCTTGTGAGCCAGAGTACTCATGCTGGGAAGTGATGGTAGACAAGTTTTGAATCATTTACAAGGTTGGCCTACAGTTTTCCCTACTGTGAACAACCTGGTAGCTCTGCAAGCTATCGTTACACTCAGTGCATCATCGCTAGCAGGTGCCCACCGATGTGGCCATGTCTGGAAACTGCTTTATCATTTTGTAATCACTACTTTATCTCCTCACACTCCTGTTCTATAGTCTGATGTCATCCATCAGAGTGTCTATGAGCTTATCCATACCGAAGACAGAGCTGAGTTCCAGCGCCAGCTTCACTGGGCTCTAAACCCTGCACAGTGTACAGACTCTGCACAAGGAGTGGATGGTAAGAAAATTTACCAAAAGGCCATGGAGATGCTTTCTGAATGTCTGTGAGAGGAGGCTGAGGAGTCGTAGGGCACGGAGCTCTATGCTGAAGACAGGGAACATGCATCCGGTGGTGTGAGTCTGTAGCCACAGATTAGAGCCCGATTGCAAGAAGATCATGAGCGAAGGGAATTTAGCAGATGACAGTCATGTATCTGCCCACTTGTGGGTATGTGTGTAGAGGCCAAAGGTCAGCAACCTTGGGGGCCATTCTTTGCATACCATCCATCTTATTGTTTTAAATAAGATTTTTTTCCATTGGTCTGGAGATCACCAAGAAGGCTGAACTATTGGAAGTCACAGGGATCCTACTCTCTGCACCTCCCCAGCACTGGGATTACAAGCATGCGCCTCCATGCTTGATTTTACATGGGTTATAGGGATCAAACTCAATGTCATGCTTGCATGGTGAGCATTTTACCAGTTGGGCTCTGACCCAGGCCCAAAGCATTGCAATGATATATAAAACTAAGTGTGGTACCACTGCGAAGGATGGAAGGAATATACAGGCTTGCAAAGGAATAATGCAAATCCTTCTTATCAAAATGTGCCCGTAAAAAAATCATAAACTAGCAAAGGCAAGAATAAGAGAGTTTACCTGGTGTAAGCATTGTTTTGAGATGTCTATGAAGCTGGTAAGAAAAAAGAAACACTTAGAAATATAGACATAGTTAACAGGAGTGGCTCAGAAATACAAATACAAAAATGTGTCGAGTTCTACAGGATAGATGTGTTAGTAAGTTTGGGCTTCTGAATGATTTTTGAAATGGTATTTAAATTATGAACACATACACTCTAGTTTAAAATATGTCACAGGTTTAACTATTCAGACCCTGAGTTTCAGGGCAAATGTAAGGTCAACTGCTGTGTTTTGTTTCTATAGAAACTCATGGCCTCCCACAGCCACCAGCAGTCTACTTCAACCCAGACCAGCTTCCTCAAGACAGCAATGCTTTCCTGGAGAGGTGCTTCATATGCCGGCTCAGGTGTCTGCTGGATAATTCCTCTGGTTTTCTGGTGAGGTGCAAAGTCTGAAAATATCACTCATGAAATGACTTAGTATGATAAAAGAAAGCAGCCTTGAAAAATTAACATTCCAGGGCCAGTAAAAAGGCTCAGTTGGTACAATGTTTGTGCTGTAAGAATGGGGACATGGTTTGGAACCCAAGAACACATGTAAAAAGCCTGGTGTGGTGATATGTATTTATGAAATAAGGAAACTAGAGACTCCTGAAGATTATACCCAAACACATATATACTCATCCACACATACCTGTACACACACACACACACAGGTACACACACATGTACAAACACATCATACATACACCATACATGCACATACACACATCACACACACAAACATACACATATGCACACACACACACACCACATATGCATACTCACATACTCACACATACACTACACATGCACGCGCGCGCGCACACACACACACACACACACACACACACCACCAGTGTCTCAGGTTCTGAAGGTCTTCCATAGTCCATTTCAGATGAAGCTGTAGAAATTGAGTGGCATAGCATCAAGCCTGTACTTGAAGTGTTTTGAAAGAATTTTTAAATCTAAGAATTAGCTAACCATTCTTGAGTAGGATGCTACCATTCATGGGTTGTGTGCCATGCACACAGGAAAAGCATGGATGCATCTGTGTTTGGGATAAATGCAGATAAAATGCTTCTATTTGTGGCTCTGGAGTTACTGTTGGATAGGACTGCTGCTGCAAAAGGTAATCCTGGGAGCCACCTGGCAAGGTGCAGACACTAACTGACACTAAGCACAATCTTCCAGCCACAGGCAAGCACTGTTACATCTTAAGTTAAGCCTCACAAATCAGTGCATTTTGTTACTGTATTGTTTTTCTGACCTGGTGTTAGAGCTGTTTGCTGAGGTATCTCTCCTAGTATCACTGTTAGAGGAGTGATACCAGTGATTACTGTGAGGATGTGATTTCTATGTGCAAAGGGTTTCTTCTCGTTGTGCTGTATCAGACATGTCAGAGAGTCCTACAGGCTCCTAGATCAACTAAGTTTATCACAGCCATCTTAAATTCTCTTTTGCCACTGTCTTCTAAAATCATTCTTTATCTTTGATCTCTACTTTCCTTATACAGCTTTATAAGGAGCCTCTTACTGTTTTAATAAAATTGCATTTTTCTCAGGAAAGATTATGGCAAGCTATGGCATAAAGATCATGCATGTTTGAAAATTAATATGTACAATGTGTCTTTACCACCACTCTTTCCTTTAAGATCTGTATTGAGTGACTGATATGCAAAGAGCTGTGGAAGGTAAATATGGTCAGGTAAATATGGTCTGGCACAAAAAGTGTAGGGCTCTCCTGTCTTGATGCCAGGGGCATGGGTGCTCCTCTTGGCAGGCCCTACTTCCTCACTCTACCTTTGGAGTTTTAATGGGATTTCTGTGGAGAGAGGAGTGAGAAATGGTAGCAGTTCTGAGCCTTGGTAACTGCCCTCCAATACCAAGAACCCCACTAGTGCCATGATGGAAACTTTGAAAATGAAATTATCACACCTCACACTGTTAATTTTAATGACTTTTAAAGGCAATGAATTTCCAAGGGAGGCTAAAGTATCTCCATGGACAGAACAAGAAAGGGAAGGATGGAACACTACTGCCTCCACAACTGGCTTTGTTTGCAATAGCGACCCCACTTCAGCCACCATCCATACTGGAAATCCGAACCAAAAACCTCATCTTCAGGACCAAACACAAACTAGACTTCACACCTATTGGTTGTGATGCCAAGTAAGGGAAACTTTTTCACTCTTATTTCATTATATGTGTGTTTTATTTTAGCAAATTTTTGTTGTTTGGTGAGACGTTTGGCTTAGGTTCTAAAATTCTACTATGTTAGCAATTACTCATTTTTTTCAGTATAGTCTACTAAAATAAGGTAATTCCATCAATCTGACAAATAATCTTATTATTATACATTACTTACCATACTTGTAAGAGTATTCTTAGAACATTGGTTTATTTTACATTTTGTGAAAGTGATACTTAATTTTTATCTTTAGAAATTAAATAACTAAAGTCACTTAGTTAACTAACAGAAATTTATGTCAAAGCATTTTAATTTTTTCTCCTTCATTGGGAGATTGCAGTGAAGTGCCTTAGACTCTGTCTCTGAACTCAAGTGTGAGCACTCCATGCTTTTAGTTTTAGAATGTGTTTTGCTTTTATAGTTAACTCTGTCAGATTCATTCTTTTTAACATCCTAAATTTAACGGCCTTATTCAAATGAAGAAAATAGGGTAAAACTGAAAATTCATAGCCTCATAGCCAAAAGTAAAAAAACAAAAATCAAAATTAAAAGGGTTGTTCTCTATGTGCTAATGTGAAAGCATTAATGGTAGCTACAGTGTTGGTAGAAATAATGTCTACTCAGTGAAGGTACCATGATTCTCTGACAATGTGATGCTGTTTATAAACAGAGGGCAACTTGTTCTGGGCTACACGGAAGTCGAGCTCTGCACCCGAGGCTCAGGATACCAGTTTATCCATGCCGCTGACATGCTGTACTGCGCAGATTCCCACATCCGCAGTGAGTTAGAGTTCTGATGGCCTGCTTGCCTGCCTGCCTGCCTGCCTGCCCCTGCCTGTGGCTAAAACGTGGACTGATTCCTGTGTGTGTGTGCATGAGGTGGTCAGGGACAACTTGTGGAGGCAGTTCCCTTCCACTTTGTGGATCCCTAGGACCAGCCTCAAATTGTCAAGCTTGGTGGCAAACACCCTTTACCCACCGAGGCATCTGCCCAGCTCCATGATACGAATTTCAAATTGTTATATATGATAATGTCCTCATGGAACATTTGGGTTAATCTTGTGGGGCGTCCTGTCATTTTGGTTAACCGTCCTTACGTTTTATTTTCTAAAACTTCTACAGCTGCATGCAGTAACATAGTGGTATAATGATTTTGAAAATAACATTTTGGCCAGTGAAGTTTTGTTCAGAGGACCTTTAGTGGCATCTCAGGAAATACTAAACATATTGCTCATTCAGTACGAAAAGTTTTAATCTTTTCTCACGTGTCACCAAAGCTGTCTGGCCCCCTCTTGATACTACTCTTTACATTTTACACGCTCAGCTCCATCTAAAACGGGAATGCACCAACTCTGAAAAAAAATGTTTCCTTGCCTTTCACTATGTTTGCTGTGTTTAAAACTTTTCAAGATAATTGTCAGAATTGCTGGTTAGTGAAATATGTCAGAATGGCTTTCTTAAAGTTTTGTTTTACATCTTAATTGTACATGTGTGTTTTCATGGGGGCATATGGGCACATGGGTGCAGGTGGATTTAGATCCCCTGGGACTGAGTTATAGGAGATGTGAGCCACCGATGTGGCTCCTGGGGAACAAACTCAAGTCCTCTACAAGAGCAGCAAGTGCCCTTAACCAGTGAGCCATCTCTTTAGGCATATGGAGGGGTTTTGTTGCAGGAATTTTCCTTACCATATTGATATAGTGTTTAACCTTGTTTTAAATGTTTGTTTTTAGTGATCAAGACTGGAGAAAGTGGCATGACAGTTTTTAGGCTTCTGGCAAAACACAGTCGATGGAGGTGGGTCCAGTCCAATGCACGCTTGATTTATAGAAATGGAAGACCAGATTACATCATCGCGACTCAGAGGCCACTAACGTAAGCTTACAGGAGGAACCTGCCCTGGTTTTGTGTTTTCATAAATCTCCTTCCATGAAAAGCTAAAAACAGTCTTAAGGCAATTGAACCTATAACTAAAAAATTAAAATATAAGAGTTTATATCTAGAAAGAACTGGGCAGAGGTGAGACATGCTGAAAAAAGACATGTGACGTGTCATTGAGCAGCTAATTGGATAAAGATAAAAAAAAAAAAAATTTCTACTCATCCTCCAACTTAAGGGGAGATGAAAAGCCTATGGGATCTTGAAAATTAAATAAAACCTGAAAATGCTATGGTATGTGCCCAGTGATTTGGAAGTTTCTCATGTATTCGAGAAAGGTGTCTTTTGTGAAATATTTCCATGCATGGGCTTCTGTCACCATGAGAATTGCTTCTCTGGTATAGCTGGCAGTAGGAATCCTGACCAATTTCCTCCATTTTGAATATCAAATTGATCAATAGAATTTACTAAAGAGACAAACCCTTGAAGAACCATCTTACCCCACTGCACTAGAGTGTTCTGTTAGCCTGTTTCTATAGTTGCTGGTCCAGTCCCTTTGTTTGTCTCTGTCTTGTACCATCTTTATTAGTTTTGATTTCATGTCTTTATTTTGTTTTTGTATGTATTTTGTTGTTTTGGCTTTTCTTTACCCTTTATGTTTCCAGATGCACTTTAGAATTCATTGTAAATTCCCAACAATACAACAAAAACTGGAGGGGTTTTTGAAAACATAGCTCTTTAGGGGTAGAATGAACATCTGTACAGAACTAAATCATCAACCCATGGCCATAGTGAATGTTTATATTACCCATAAGAGTACATGGGTGTGTGCGTCACAAATCCATTGTGGTCCAGCAGCAGACCCCTGCCTTCGTTGGGCTCTTCCAGGCTCGTACATGTCATTTATTGATTTTGTTATTGTCTATTTGTTTTCTAGTCCATTTGTGTCTCCTAGTTATTATTTTATTTATAATTTTTCAGTATTTATATATTTTCCCTGTATAGTTTAAGCTATGTTTGCATAACAGTAGTCATGGGAATAATTTGCCTAAAAATAAAATCCATGTTCTGTGCAATCACGCTCAGCTCTAGTACATTTTACTTATTTTTTTTCCTTCTTTTAAAAATATCTTACTTAAAACATGTATGATAAAACTCTAACGTTTGCAGACTTTCTTATCCACCCTGTTAGGGATGAAGAAGGAAGAGAGCATTTGCAAAAGCGGAGTATGACACTGCCATTCATGTTTGCTACTGGAGAGGCTGTCTTGTATGAGATCTCCAGCCCTTTCCCTTCCATAATGGATCCCTTGCCAGTACGTACCAAAAGCAGTACCAGTGCAAAGGACTGGGTTCCACAGTCAACCCCAAGTAAGGATTCTCTCCACCCCAGCTCCCTTATGAACTGCATAATCCAACAGGATCAATCCATCTATCTCTGTCCTCCTTCAAGTGATGCACCGCTAGACAGCCATTTTCTCACCAACTCTGTGAGTGAAGGCAGTGGTTGGCAAGGCAGCATTGCATCAATAGGAAATGACTCTGTGTTGAAACATGAACAAATTGGACATGCTCAGGACATGAACCCTGCACTCTCTGGAGGCCCGCAGGGGCTCTTTCCAGATAACAAAAATAATGACTTGTACAGCATCATGAGAAACCTAGGGATTGATTTCGATGATATCAAACGCATGCAGAGTGAGGAGTTCTTCAGGTCTGAGTTGTCTGGCGAGGTTGACTTCGGAGACATCGACATAACAGATGAAATCCTGACATATGTGCAAGATTCTCTAAATAAGTCGACCTTGCTGAATTCGGCCAGCCAGCCACAGCCTGTAACTCAGCACCTAAGCTGTATGCTACAGGAACGCCTGCACCTAGAACAGCAGCAGCAGCAGCAGCTACAACAGCACCAAACTCAGGCAGTGGAGCCCCAGCATGAGCTAGAGCAGATGGCACCCCAGCAACAGCTGTGTCATCAGATGGGGCTCCCACAGCAACAGCTATGTCATCAGATGGGGCTCCAGCAGCAACAACTATGTCATCAGATGGGGCTCCCGCAGCAACAGCCATGTCATCAGATGGAGCTCCCGCAGCAACAGCCATGTCATCAGATGGAGCTCCCGCAGCAACAGCCATGTCATCAGATGGAGCTCCCACAGCAACAGCCATGTCATCAGATGGAGCTCCCGCAGCAACAGCCATGTCATCAGATGGAGCTCCCCCAGCAAGAGCTGGGGCAGAAAATGAAGCATGCAGAAGTCAACGGCACATTTACAAGTTGGAACCCCACCCCTCTCGTGCCTTTCAGCTGTCCTCAGCAGGAACTAAAGCATTACAATGTCTTCTCAGACTTACAGGGGGCTGTTGAGGAGCTCCCCTACAAATCTGAGGTGGACAGCATGCCTTACACACAGAACTTTGCTCCCTGTAATCAGTCTGTGCTACCCCAGCATTCCAAATGTACACAGTTGGACTTGCCTGGGAAGGGTTTCGAACCGTCCCTGCTCCCCAGTACTTCTAATTTAGGAGATTTTGTCACTTGTTTACAAGTTTCCGAAAACCAAAGACATGGGATAAATCCACAGTCAGCCACAGTCACTCCTCAGGGATACTATGCTGGGGCCATGTCCATGTACCAGTGCCAGCCAGGACCACAGCACATCCCTGTGGACCAGATGCAATACAGCCCTGTGGTTCCAGGCTCCCAGGCATTTCTAAACAAGGTAAGGGCTTTTAGAGCTGAATAGACCTATCAGGCTTAAGACACTCCATGTTTTCTATTATGTTTAAACATACTGTCAGAACCCTTTAAACAGCAAGTGCCTTCAGAACTGCTTTTAGTGTATGTATCGTCACATAACTAACTTTGTTATAATTTACTTAAAATAGGATGGGTAAATTATTTTAAATAATTTTCTTAAAAACAGGTTAATGTGGACATAATTTAATAACCATTCTCTCTTGTCACTCTAGGGTATATCATGCTCACACTAATAAACTTCTGTTAGGCAATATTAATTTACTTGAAAATATACCAGTTTAGCTTCTAAGAATATTTTGACTAACATTAAGTTTGAGTGTGGCTTGAATCTCAATTCTGACTGTTTCTTCTACTAGACTGTTAATACGTATGCTTTATCTGAATGTGTGGGATTTTTTTTTTTTTGTGGAGAATGTAATCTTCTTTTCTGATAACCTTCAATTCCATTCAAAATTAACATTCATAATAAAGAAAACTGATTAATCATGCATTTGATATCATTTATCCATAAAAGAATGGAGTATTATCCTTTGCCTCAAAGTGCTGCATCTGGAGGACATTATAGAATGTTGAGAGCAAAACTGTGGATCACATCCATGTGTGGAAAGTTCCAAGGCTGATTTCTCAGACAGTGGAAATGGCAGCAGAATGGGGCTGGCTAATGGACACACGAGAATAGCAGTAGGATAACAGTAGTTAGCAATAATTCACTTAATGATTTTAAATCACTAGAGAAAGGAATCCAAATGTTCCTAATGTAAATGATAAATGAATGTCCACATAAGTAACCACATTTTGGACCTGGGAAGATAGCTCAGCAATGAACACTTTCTTGCTCTACTGAAGGTCCTGTATTTGATTCCAAGTACCCACGTGGGCCGCTCAAAACTGTCCATAATTCCAGTTCCAGGGGATCCAGTGCCCTCTTCTGCCTCCTTCAACACTGTACACTTGTGTCACACATATATACATATGGAAAAAATTCCCATAAAACATCAAATTTTATTTTTAAAGTGATGTTTTTATTTTTTGAAATTAAAATAAAAATATATCCATTTCCCCTTCCCATTCCTTTCTCCAACCTTTCCTGTCTATCTACCCTTGCTCTTTCAAATGCATGGCCTCTTTTCTTTAATTGTTGGTGTGTGTGTGTGTGTGTGTGTGTGTGTGTGTGTGTGTGTGTGTGTGTGTGTGTTTGTGTGTGTAAGTAAATATAATCTACACAGACTGTATATTACTTGTAGGTATAAACCAACCCTGCCCAACAACTCAGAAGGGTTGCTTCTCATGCCAAGCGTTAGGTCTGTAGAGTAAGTTCAAAGCATGCAGTGAGACAAAAAATAAAATTACAAAAAGCCAAGAGTATAGCTGAGAAGTAAATCACTGCACTAAGGTACAGTAGCTGGTTCTAGAAGGCTAGTGAAGCCTTTCACAAGGATCTCTAGCACTACAAAATATATGAGTTTATTCAAAGCAGCTACAGGAACAATTTTATGATTTTTACCTTATTTTTATTTTATTTTACCAACTATGCACTATAATGTGAAGGTTCTATAGAGTATCAACTCTCATGTCTGTCTTTTTTTTTTTTTAAGCAGTTCTGAAAATGAGACTAGTTTTGGTGTAAGAAGGCAAGTGTCTTAGTTATGGTCACTGTTGCTGTTGTGAAACATCGCGACCAATAGCAACTTGATGAGAAAAGGGCTATTTCACTCCCAGTTCCATGTTACAGTTCATTATCAAAAAGAGTGTGGACAGGAACTCATGCAGACGTCATGGAGGAGTGTCTCATACCCACTTGTTTCCCATAGCTTGCTTAGCCTGCTTTCTGATAGAACCCCCAAAATGGGCTACCCCCCCCCCATAAAAATCACTAATTAAGTAAACGCCTGACAGGCTTCGTTCGGCCTACAGACAGATCTTTTTTGTTGTTGTTTTGTTTTGTTTTTGTTTTTTTGAGGCAGGGTTTCTCTGTTATGCTTTGGAGCCTGTCCTGGCACTCACTCTGTAGGCCAGGCTGGCCTCTAACTCACAGAGATCCGCCTGCCTCTGCCTCTGCCTCCCAAGTGCTGGGATTAAAGATGTGTGCCACCAGCGCCCAGCCCTACAGCCAGATCTTATGGATGCATTTTCTTATTTGAGGCTCTCTCCTCTCCAATAACTTTAGCTGAGTCAAACTGACATGAAACTAACCAGCATAGCTAAACCTTTGTCAGCTTGACACACAAAACATCAATTTTTAGTTCGACCCTTTCCTGTCCCACTTTTCCCCAAGATGGCACATTAATATTATAATACAAAATATAAATGACCTTATAAGTTCCCTGATCTTTACAAATTTGAACACATTAGAAGTTCAGTTTCTTTAAAATGCCCAATGTCTTTTAAATATCCAAAGTCTTTAGGCTGTGGGGTCCTATAAAAATCAAATAAAATTGAATACCCTCTAACTTCGAGAGGGCGGAGCAGAGCTAAGTCACAATAAAGTCAAAGCAAAACCAAACTCCAAATGTATAGATAACTCAGTGTCCACTGTCTGGGACCCACTGGCAGTCTTCTGGGCTCCCCCAACGGCTTGGGTCACTTCTCAGGTTCTGTGCTGTGCAGCCCACACAGCTTGTCTTCTAATATCCAGCAGGCTCAACTCCATAGCTGCTTGTGTCCTTGGTGGTCATCCTCTGGTCCTGGCATCTGCAAAATGCTGGGGTCTTCTGCAACTGGGCTGCACTTTAACCAATAGTCTCTAGTGGACTTTCTTCAGGGTGCCAAACCTGAACTTCTCTCCATGACCCCATTTAGTCATGGGCCTTTAACTGCCACTGAGGCTGGACCTTCCCTGGTGGCCTTTCCTGGCCTCTCTCAGTGCCAATTCTCAGCTGCTCCCCATGACCCCTTCATTCCTTCAAAACCAGAACCACCTGGGCAACTCTTACACTGCCAGGTTTGACTGTCAGCACAAGGTGAAACCTTGGCCACCTCTGGACTGCAGCTTCTCTGTGCTCCCAGGAGACACTTCCCAGAAGATGTCACCTCAGCAATGCTGATCTTTTTAGTCACCCCTGACTCTTCAACCCCAGCTAGCCTACCATCCAATCATTTTCCCAATTGAGGTTTCCTCCTCTCTGACGAGTCTGGCTTGTATCAAGTTTACATAAGACCAGCCAACACAGCAAGCTAACATTTTCCATTTGGTTCCTTGCAGAAAAACTCAACTTGTCTTACAAATAAATTCATTAAAATTATACTCATGGTGTAACATGAGAACAGCAAGAAACAACTTGAAGCCCAGAACTGAGCAAAAGACTTTGGTGTCTGAAATGCAGTATAGAGGTTCTGGGTTCATTGATTCCAAGTTCCTGATTGGGGTGATGGCAGACCAGAATATCCCTCTGACACCCTATGTCACATAATTTCCAAGTAGGTCCCAAGACAAAAGAAATGAAATAGTTGTGACATTTTCTGTGCTGTCTTGAAACTATCCCCTAGAATTAACTGGGGAACCTGGTTTTGTAAATGAAACCAATGTGTGATCATTTCTCTGTGTGACTTGAATGGTGAAGGGGCAGCTAAGGACTGTCAAGTGGAGGAGCATTCAGATGGAAGGGTCTAGAATGTGTTTTTAAGGTGTTGTTTAGTGGATCTAAACAAGTTGCTCTGCTGTTTTTGTTTTCAGTTTCAGAATCAGGGAGTGTTAAATGAGACCTATTCGTCCGAATTAAACAGTGTTGGTCACAGGCAGACCGATGCTCATCTTCAACATCCAGCAGAAGCGAGGTCGTTTCCGGATATCACACCCAGTGGATTCCTGTAGCTGAAGGAACATAATACAGGAACTGTCCATGCTGGCCATAAGCACTCTTTTTCCAAACCAGATTTTAATCTTTGTGTTGAGAAAAGGAGTTTAAAAACTGTTATCTGAACTTCTCTGCTCAGTGACTTCAGCCAGAAAGAGAGCGAAGTTCTTTGAACTTCAGGATTCCTGATAGTGTACCAAATACCGTTACAAGACTTATTGATTCCTATGTTTGTAACTTCTCTTTGTCCCAGATGTTAGAATAAATGGTTTTGGTACTTGCATCAGAAGAGAAATCTCAGTGTTTTTCCTTCTGCACTGTTAATATAAGTGCCTCACGTTCTTTTCAGTCCACCTGTAACACAGTAGGGTGTGCATTTTATATAAAGTGCTCTTCTATCTTTGTTGAATTAATATTCTTTCTGCACAGAAATGTTACTGGATCATTTTTTATTAATTCAGGCATGTTCTTACTGCACTACTTGCCCCCTTTCTTCAGATAAAGGGCAGATGATAACTGAAAGGTAACTATTTATTATGTAATATACTTGCTTCTGGACTGTTGATGCTCTCCTGTGCCTTATGTTGAAATTTTGAAAGTAACATGTAACCAAGATTATTTAATTATTGCATAAATATTAAGACAGTAGCACTTGCATTTTAACAGTGTTTTCTGAGAAGTGGCATTCTTAGAGTGGCACTGTCTGCTTTCACTGAAACCTCCATAATGACACCAGAATGCTGGCCATCACGTGAAATGCTCAACCTCCATAATGACACCAGAAGGCCACCATGTAAAATGCTCAAGGCAGCCATGTTCACTAAGCTACAGTGAAGGGAAGTGGAGTTTGTCTAGCTCTTTGGTTAAATTAAGTAAAGCACTCATTTCATTATGTATACGTTGTCTTTAAAAGCTATGTTAGGTCTATGATCCTTTTTGTTTCACTTCTTATACTAGTGGAAGCTATTAGTTTTCCTCATATTTGAGGAGTGCTAAGACTGAAGTTGCCATGTTTGGTGCAAGGTATTTTAATGAATGAAATGAATGGTGTGTTGTATAAATGTAATGAACAAAACAATCTGTAAAATATTTTCAGTTTTCATTTAAGAATAATCCTTACCTCATATGTGTATTTTTTTCGGTGTATCTCGTTAAGAAATCAGATAATGAATCAAGGCTTTTGTGCTGGTATTAAGGTAAAGGTAAATGTGATCTGTTCACCTCCATACACTGTTGGTATGCTACCAACATGGCAGATTCATCACTTGGCCAAATTTATGGTTCTCAAATGGCTTAAAGAAAAGAAAAATACTGGTGTCTGTCATTGTTTTTTGTCATTTACTTAGATATAATATATGAAGGACATGAACCTGTTTTTCATATGTTGTATAAAAATATGATGAAACCCCAAACTGAGATGTAGTATTAAAATATGCAGTGGCTCTTAATCTTTAGGCCTTGACCCATTTGGGGGTCAAACAACCCTTTCACAGGGGTCACCAAAGACCGTCAGAAAACAGAGATATTTATATTACAATTCATAATAGCAGCAAAACTAGGGTTATGAAATAGCAACAAAATAAATTTATGGTTGGGGATCACCACAACATGAGGAACTGTATTAAAGGGTCACAACATTAGAAAGGTTGAGGACCACTGAAATACAGGCTCTTTTATCTCTCTTTTAGAAAACTAAAGTATGTAAGCACAGCTTCAGGTAAAGAGATCTGTCAATTCTATGCATTTTCAGTCAAAATTCTTAATCTTTAGGAATAAGCATTGAAAAATGACTGTCGAGAACATTTCACAGTTTGCTTCCAGCATGAGGTATCACTAAGGAGTAAATCTCCATTAGAAGTTGTCAGTCTCTTTTACATGTTAACAAATGTTCAGTTAAAAACATACTTTGGACATTGCATGCATGGTGGCATTTAATTACACACTTATAAAACTAAAAGTTTTAAAAGCAATATTGTGTATTTTTACCTATATAAAATAACTAAAAGTCTAAGAATAATAAAATCACATTAAATTGAATATGTATTTGTCTGCATTGCTAAATGCCCAACAAAAGGAATGATTAAAGCAGTGCTGGGCTGGGGAGTTACTTTCTAGATGAAATTCACATCTAAGGCCGTGTGTCTGTGTGACTTGCGTTCTTGCTATCCAGATGTTTCTTACATACGTTAACACTTACCAATATGCCATTGTATTAACCTTTCAATTGTTACTACGCACAAGCTAGCTTGTTTGAGTATGAATTGATTTAAGTTTACATAGCTTCTTGCTATCCTTCAAACTGTTATTGCTTACATACGCCATGCATAGATTTTTGTTTACTAAAGTATGATTTATAATATCCTTAAACGTTGAAGAAAATGTAAACAGTGATATACAATAATAAAATAACCACCAAGTATGAAGAATGGTTTCATAAATTCTTCTTTCTGTCTGTAGAAAGGAAACAAGGCCTTGTACTCTCACATGATTGCTTGATGGTGGTAATCTTTGAAAGAAGACCAATACCAAATCTTTGTAAAAATCATTTAAATTCACAATTTGATCTGAGAAAATTCAAGTTTAAAAGGGATGTTCCCAATCACTAGTGTGTTTGTTTTGGTGGCCACACATGACAGCGAAGTTATGCAGTGGATGACACCACCAAGGTTTGGATAGTACACTCTGTGGTGTCATGTGTACACATCAGAATGATCATCATCACATTTCTTGCATGCACATATCACTACATAATGACACATGACAGTAACCTTTCTGATCTTGGTTTGAATTCAGTTTAATGGCTTCCTTAACTAAGAATAACTCCAGCTGTACTCGCCTCACCAAGACTACTGACCACTCCAAGGAACTGGGTGATGGTCACGATTCTTGTCTTATATTTTGCAGATGACCTTGCTTCCAGTTTTCCTAATAAAATCGGTAGCATTACCAAGTGTAACCTATACCTTCATCCCTTCAACACTAGTCTTTGCTTTCCTGTAATACATAGGAAGAGGGGTTCCTAGACTTGACCATCTTTTTTTCATTATTATTATTCTTTGAAGTTAAAAAATAAGCTCTTATGCTTTCTATTTTTAATCTCACCACTTTTGTGGATCTCCCTGTGGGTAAGTTTCCATCAGGAAAGCATGGTCCTTCTTCCCCTTAATTTGTTCTCTCTTGGCCTTGCTCAGAAATTCTCTCCTCACATCCAGAGTTCTTCCCTCCTGTGTTTCTGTGTTGCTGTGGTTCACTTCAACCCTTTGCACTACTATTTTAAATGCCAAAATCATAATTTTTTATTTTCTGTCATGTGATTTTAAACCTCAAAACATTAATAGCAACCAGAATAAGACACTCAGCAGGAAAAAACAATACTAAACTCATGTCTGCAGAACAGTCCATTGAGGTGAAAGAATGCAATGTGCCATTCTAATATCAACTCCGTTTGTTCTTTGTAATGACAGTTCAAGTGTGTTTTTAAGATTTTTAACTTGTAAACAACATGAACCAAAATGAACTATTAGGTAATCTAAGCACTGCAAGATAATTTTAAGATACTAGATAAAACACTATATTAAAGACATAGAAATCAGGGTTCACTTTGGTCTTTACATGGCTGGAGTTGTTACCACCATAAAATCAATACATATGAACTAAAGTCAGCTTGATAGTGGGTGCCTGTGGTTGACAAATGTAAGTGACTGAAGAGGTAGTCAACACCATAATTTTCAATCTCAGAACTGACAAGTGGTAAGCCACAGGTGTATTGAGTATCGGGATACTTTCTCACAATACAGTACTTTGTTCCAAGCATAAGATCCACACTGAGTCATAGGTCACCCTAACTGAACTGGGTCAAACTAGGTCACAGCTCAATCAGGCACATCTTGGAGAGGCTGTTGACTATGTAAGACAGAACTGGATACTTTATTTTTTAAAAGCAGCTAAAATTTCCAAATAGTTGTCATACGCAGAATAATAGTCAACAAAATATGTTTATATTTCTTCATAAGCTTATGTGAATTTGGTGGCAAGGGACATTTTGTAGATGTTATTGAGTTCAGTACCTAGGAATGGGAAGGTGCTATGGTCTATTTCTTAAACATCCTCCAAGCCTTTTGTTGAATGCTTGCCTGGTCATTTATGCTTTATTGAGAGATGATAAGGGAACATTTAAAAAGGGGGCATTATGGGAGGATATTAGGCATTGAAGATGTGTCCTAAAAGGGGACTTAAGACCACAACCCTTCCCCTCCTTATATTTCCTTAGTCCAGTGAAATGAACAGATGTTTCTACCTTTCCCTCCTGAAAGGTGTCCTGGGCAATTTTATTGCTTCTCTCTTAGGAGAATGCTGAAAGCTGGCCAGTGGTGGTGGATGCCTTTAATTCCAGCGCTCGGGAGCAGAGGTAGGCTATCTCTGTGAGTTCAAGGCCAGCCTGCTCTACAGATGGATTTCTGGGACAGGCAGGGCTACATAGAGAAACCCTGTTTAAAAAAAAAAAAAGTAAAAATAAAACAGAGACAGAGAGAAGGCCAACATATAGTCTGTACTGGATTACCTGGAGAAACTCAGTGTAATCACCAAAAGTTCTTTCAAGAGGAAGGTTGGAGAGTTAGCAGGGAGGGAGAACAGAAATTGAGGAGATCAGAAAGTATTAGAAGAATCTACACTGATACTGCTGAAGATGTAAGACCACACACCAAAGAATGCAAAAGGGTCCATGGAGCTAGAAAAGTCAACAATGTAATTCTCCCTTCATGCTTCTAAAAGAAGCCCATCCTTGCCAATGCCTTGACTTCAGAGCTAGCATCTTTTTTGTTCATCAGTTCTCAACCTGTGGGGGATGACCCCTTTGTTCACATATCAGATATTTACAATTTATAACAGTAACAAGATTGCACTCATGAAGTAGCAATGAAATACTTTCATGGCGGGGGTCACCAAAATATGAGGAACTGTATTAAAAAGGCTCACATTGGGAAGGTTGAGAGCCACTACTCTGGTTCTATCAAGGTAACATTTGTGTTGTTCTGAACCAGTAAATGCAGTAATAGTGGCCACTGGAAATCAGCAAAAAAATGATTTGGATTTTATGGAATAATGAATTTGGAATTGAAACATCTTCATTTTCATAACTTCTATTGAAAGAGTTGTTCTGTGCATCCTCCCAGGCTACAGTAACTTTGCTGTTTCAGAGAATAGCCAGTGTGTGTGTGGGGGGGGGTGGCAATACTTCCTGCTGCTCCTCCCCACCTTCAAGTCCCTCAGAACCAAGAAAAGAGATTCCACTCTATGAGCAAGACAGTGGTGCCTGGTAGGCTCCAGCCTTTCCTTACAGAGCAAGGACATGTGGAAAAACACACTGCAGCCTTGCCTTTTCCAGATGTTTGCCTCATGTCTGGAGTCAGGAAATGCATTGCTTATAGCCCCACATATGTTTCCAAGGAAAGATCTTAATAATGTGTCTGCTTGTTGCAAATCACCATCAAATTGACCTGCTTTCTAGAAGGAAAATGGCTGTCCTGAAGTGGGTTAGACATTATACCCACATTGCCATTTATACATCTTCAAATAGTGTTCTGCATTTAAAATTAACAAAGCTGTTTGGAGGGTAATTTTGCAACTCTGCAACTAAAGTGCTTGTGTATGAAAAAAATAGTTAAGTTTGCATTTTTAAACCTCTATTAGGATATTTTCACTTCCTGGGGTCCAAAGGAAGCCTATTAAATGAGAAAAAAATCACAAAGCTGTTACAATATTGTCTTTTTAAACACCTTGCCAGATATTAATTTAGTGCTTTATTTGCACAGAAATTTCAACTTCAATATTGGAATTGATTTGTTTATTATGCAATAAGCTCAGTTTATAGTCTTGTAATTTCCTACTTATTGTCTTAAGACCATGGTTAACTGTGGGTAATAGAATAACAAAATGTAAAACCTTGAATAGGGTTTCTGCTTTATTTCAGGGTAGTTTTCTGTAATAGGGCATGATGATATTTGAACCACTAATTTAAATATATGCCTGACTCAAGCATTTACAGTTTCCCTCAAAGATTTTACACTGGGTCCAATTCAGGTTATTCTTGCATCTATTAAAGAATTATCTAATGGATGTAAGGCTAAAATCTAAACTGATGTTTAACTGAAGTGCCCTTTTAAATATAGAAAATTATTATAAACATATTTTAGAATGATCCAGGCATCTTGCCAAGTTTCAGCTTTCTCTCCTTGATTCAGATAAAGTGTGAAGTTAAGACTAACCCACTGGATAGAGAGAGCAAGCATGCTCTTTTCTGCATTCACCTAGAAATCAAAGACCACTTGCAAAACTTTTGTGTATCAATAAAAAGACCATCATTGCAAAATGGACATTTAAAGAGGCATAGGACTTTCCCTGCTGAAACAAAAGTTTTAGAACATTTGGATAATAGACTCTTTATTTCCCTTGCATTAGCAAACTGTGTGCATGTACATCCTCAAGGCTCAGGGAACATCCCAAAATAAAGGACAGAGCGAATGTGAAAGCTGGAAGATGGGTAGGAGTATGGGGAATTCTGTGGTCATGGCAGGCCTGTTGCTCTTATGAATTCACAGAGGCTGTGGTTGCCTACACATAATCATGCCAGTCAACACTCCAGCATGGATAGGGGAGGGTTCAGAAGGCTCCCTTTCCTACTGAGTAGCTACTGACAATTCATGTGTACTAGTGGAAGAACAGTAACTTTTCCTCAGGGCTATTGCTACTGGGAGATAACATTATGCCATCTAAGCACTAACCAGACTCAGTGGGTTATTAATTATAAAAGGACTTACATGTGAGAGGGGAACTATTGCAGGAGTCCACAAAAAGCAAGAGAGACAATTTGCCATAGGTCTGATGATAGTACATTACATTTGTGCATTGAAGTTTCAAATAATAAAAATATTCAAAGATATAAAAATTTAAAAAAATTATTTCAGAAAGGGGATAATTAACAGATTTCATAGTTTGGAAAGGAATACCGACAACACATGAGGAGTTCTGGTGCTTTCAATGTGCAAATTTTCATTATGTATGGGGGCTATTAAGGACTCCTTGCTTTCATTTTACATTTGTTTGAGGCAAAACTAAAAGAATCATATTTAGGCTGAAGGGTGTGCAAGAACTTGGTGTTAATGTCTACTGTTTTGCTTGCCCTAACCTTCTTCAACAATTACATTTTCTTGGTGATTTTCACCTCAATAGCATATCCACTCACTGTCTTCAGAATCTATCTACAAAGTGTTTAATATACTATTTACAAACAAAGTCACATAATATGTTGACATGGGAACTTTGTGACAGGGTAAACCCGGGCTAATCCTTCCCCTTTGCCAAACATTTTCAATGTGTTAATGTAAAATGAAATTTTCAAAAGAATTGATGTGCACTATATTTCAAA